AGCTTTCAAGACATTGACTGCTTTAACAGGATACAAAAATCCTCCTTTGCCATCGCTGATTTTTATCTATCTAATGTCATTACGTTGACAGCTAATCGATATAAAATAAAATATGCTAGCAAGCGCCGTCTGCCGTTTAAAACGTGAAACGGACAACAGTTTTTCGACAAAACGCCGTCTGTGTTTAAAACGTGAAACGGACAACATTTCCGATGTTAAAATTTTTGACATTTCAACTCCACATCGAGATATCTTCCTTCGTAGGGTACGTAGACAATAAAAACATATTTATAATATAATTTAAACAATAAAACTAAATTAAGAATATTTAAAAATTGATAAATTTAGCCATTAATTGTGAGATCCGGTAATCTCGGGTACACGGAACTCATCGACTCGCGTAAAGATACACGTGCGGTCTCGCGCTTCGCGTTTACTTGGCGCGAGACATTACCGTGTCTCTTGATATAGTATAACAATAAGACTGTAAGAACTTGTATACACATACATTTAATTCATTCAACGTCATATTTAATCATGCACTGAAGAGGACCCAAACGAAAGGGTTTCAAACGCCTATAATCTATTATTTTTAAAATATATGAAAATTTACACACGGATAACCTGTGTTGGCTTGCATCGGCTTTTGACAGTTACTTGATAATTATTTGCCTTCATTGGTTGTGTTTTTCACATGTACGATTCTATAAGATTTAATATTTAATATAATTATTTTATTGGGTTTCATAAATAAATGTCAGTAATTAATAACCTGTTTATTTATATTTAACGTATTTTCACACGCATTTGCAGTAAACTTTCACACATGTTTATATAAATTATTTTATAGATTATAATGCATAAGAAATAAGCTTACATTTATATGCTATTTTATCTTTTATGTATTATTACATAAGTAAGAGATAAACAACATAATTATTGAGACAGATTACATTTGTATAAATAATAAAAAAGATTTCAAACCTAAAAATAAATATTATGACACGTAATTATCTTTCAGTCAAGAAGGAAAAATTTCAGGGGAAAGTATTGATTCTAAATATTTATAAAAGATACTACAAGAATTTAATGATAATTAGACTAGTATATAATTACATTTATACAAATGTAACCTGTGTCAATAATTATGTTCTTTGTCTTTTATACTGTTATTACGGAATTTATATATTTAGGACATAAATTTTTATATTCATATTAATATTTATTATACATTTCATTGTGTTAATTTTTGAATAATTTAATTAAAAATGCGAGCTAACTTTTGCTTCCGTTCATCCTTCTCGTTCAAAAATATTAAAACTTACCATGCAGTTTATTCTAAAAAATATTGGTACGCATATACGCGATGCAGGACAGAGAATATTTCGTTTGCCGACTTTTCGTGTATTTCTAGAGGGAATAACTTTTTCAAAGGTTTATCGAATAACAGTTTCCGAGGCAGTGAAACAATCGCGATGTACTTGGTCTGATCCAATTTCTATGGCACTTTAACTTATCTTTAAAAAAAAATGATGCTTTTAAAATTGCTGGAGATTAAGTCAATAAATAATTATAAATACCGACGAGCGTTAAATGTAACATTTTTCGTACATATTCGGTTACGTAACTTTTTTTATATTAGTTTTTATGAAAGTAACTAATAAAAGCTTTTCAAAAAAATGTTAGCTATTCACGAAAAAAAGATATAAATCATATAATTAATATTTATTTATGATCAATATATGTTATAGTTGTACGTCATTCCAGTTATCTCTATGTGATAGGAATGTATATAGTTGATTTATTTACTTTGATGTAAACAATTCAATACAAGGGCTCTTTTAATAACAATATAAACAATAAAAAGGAATGTAAGAGTCAATTTTTTTTTATAATGAAACGTTATAATATATGATTCACATTAAAGATAAGAAATATAATTAGATATACAATATAATCGAAAAAAAAAAGATTATATGTGTTATACATGTCACTGGGTGAGTTTTTTTTATCAGAATGACGATATTGCCTGCTTATAAAAAAATTTTTTTTACTAAAATTTATTGTCCACTAGAACATCGACAAATTATCTATATTCGATCTTCTAATCGTTTGCAAGCGCTTTCGGGTTCTTCATGAAACGCTCACCAAACCACATACAACGCAATATAATATGTAATCTTTTTTCAAATTTTATATCTAATTATATTTCCTTCAATCTTTAATGTAAATAGTTATAATGTTTTATTATAAAAAAAATATACTCTTACATTCCCTTTTTATTGTGTGTATATATATGTATATATATATATATATATATATATATATATTATTGTTGACAAAAAGAGTTTTTGTATTGAATTATTTATTTCTAATTTTATATTTCATTGTAAACATACGTAGAATGTATAAGCATGCATACACAGGTATTTAACTGTGTGTGTAGTTCAAGGAGTATGTGTTTTATAGAATTTGCAGATGCAAAGCGGCTTACAACATAGTTCCAAACGTATCGTACATTGCATTGGTGTCGTGAAAAGTTACATAAAGTATAATATATATTTTTGGCTTTCCGTTTCGTTAATAACAGCGGTAGTAACTAAATTAGTCTTTACACTGTATTAACATAATTTGTCTGAACCAATTAAATAATGCAGTTGCCATTAAAACATTCGTGATTAAATGTTCAAGAAACAATTTGATTTCAGCAACCAGATACATTGCTGCAACACGTCATTCAACTATTGTACTGTGGTTCAAGCACGACATAGTTTTTCTGTAATTTATTATCTAATCTAGTTGGCATCACCAGATTTTTGTGTAGACCAACCACATTGTTTTCTTCGTGATCAGTAGGCTTAAAAAAAATTTTGCACATTATTGAAATTTTGATTTCAAGTTACGCGCTTTTTAGAAAAAAAGTGATATTTATAATGGTATAATATTTAATAAAATATTAAAAGACATATTATAAATTAAATTAGTAAAAACATCACCTTCTCATTTTAAAATTTACACAACTCAAAAAACGTGATTTTTATATTACTAATATTTATCGTGAATGAGCTAAGTAAACATTATCCTGTCAATCATCAAAAGTATACATCAATATAATTTCATCAAAAATCGTTAAAATCTTCGCAACTCGAAAAGATATTTTTGAAGATTATAAAAATGACAAAAGTGACATTTAATTATGTTAACAATGTATATGTCACATCTCAAAATATTGCCAAAAATATAAAAATTTCATTGATTCCCCTTTATTATTGCAACTGAATATCTATGTAAAATTTTAGCACAATTCTCTTATTGGTTTAAAAGTTTTTTTTTGTTAATCTTTATCTTTGTGTAAAATTGTGTTTTGTAATACTTATTTGTTAATTTAATAATAAAGAAATAATGTGTAAGAATTAAATCAAATTTTAAACATATACTGATCAAACAATAATAAATATTTATGCAAAGTTTTTATTCTTTTTGTTGATATTATTTGATCAGCGCTGCAATAATTTTCTGTCAAATTGAAAAATAGAATTTTCTCCTTTCTAGAAATTTAATTTTTGGAGTTACACTATTTTTGAAAAAAATAGAAGAGTGATATGTTCTCTTTAATCAGAAACTTTATTTGCGGAAACTGACAACAGAGATGAAAAAGGTTGTGAAGTCGGTCTGACTGAATACGCACGTAAAACTGAAGCACCGAGAATGTTTGTCTGCGAGAATTAATATCGCACATTTTTGTTCTCTTCAGTTTTTTTAACTTCCTTAATTTTTCAAAAAGTTTCTTAAACATCTTCTCTGCTGGGACACGCGATTTTAACTATCCAGAGAAGTTTTAAAAGCGCGGTGAAAAGTTAAAAGGCGATGCTAGTGACGCGTGAGTCCCCTTAACATTTGTATAACACGAGTAGCACAGAATGCGGATGTGTCAGAATATATCGGAAAAACGTCCTCAACAAATTTTATAGTGGAATAGAATAGAACTGACATACGAGTACGCTAATCTAAATATATTTCGATACACAAATCCCAACCGGATGTGCCAACGGTTGTATACATTTTCAAGAGCTTTCTTTTGTTCTACACGTATGCAATTTGAAGATTACAGCATTGAAAATAGAATAACAGTGACATACAAATTTTCATATAGATTCCTTTGGTTTCTATAGATAAAAAATAAAGAGTTTAACATAACAATAGGATAATAAAAATATTTTGAATTATATTCAATAAAAAAATTAAAAATTCTAAGAAAAATTTAATAAACATAAAAGCCTTTTTTTGATAATGTTCCATGTTAAGATACAGTATACTAAACGCAACGCATGTACAAAATATCCTAGAATTTGTGCCACTTCTGATACCTTCATACGTAACTTAGAGCTTTCATTCATTATAGCTCGCGTTTCAAAATTACTGCTCGGACACAACTTTGTCTAGGAAAAAGGTTGTTTTTTTTAAGCACGAAATCGCACTGATATTCCGTGTACGCAAATTTTGGGATACACTGTGTATATGTCTCGCATGTCTCAATAAAGTTTCATCAGTATTTGACTTTTAAAAATATTTTGAAACAGGTTTATATATTTTATAATTATTAATTAGTGATATTAAAATCTTTGATCGTTGATAAATTAAATTAATTATGTGAAGAGGATTATGTAAATTAAAAAAATGTGACTTACATTTCTTTACTCAAAAGAGATGTATATATTAAATTTTAGAACAAAATTTATTTTAAAAAGATATTGCTAGCGCACTACTTTTCGTTGCATAGTTATATAAAAAAAAAACGTACATATAAATTTTTATTAATACTAAACTTTAAAATATGCTATAATATTAAAGATACAAAAAAATAATATATAAAAGTTATAGTAAAAAATATATTAATAAAATATTAATAAAACTAATAAAAAGATTAAAATACGCATATATTTATTCTTGGTAATATATAGATTTTATTGGATTATTTTATTTCCTTGTTAATTGCTTTTTTCCCTATAACTGTAAAATTATGTCAAATAAAACTCTATACGCATTTCTTCATATAATTTGAAGTAATATATCTGTATGAATTAATAAAAAATAATATAATTAATTAATAAATAAGACCTCGAAAAAAAAGAACTAGAATAAGAGTTGTATATATATACTTATTGACATTTGCTACAATAGGAATGTAAAATATAATTGGAAAATATTAACTTCAACGCCACCGAAATACAATCCTTCCCGATTAACAATGGCGAAGTTGTAATTACATAAATTTCGTGGCATTCGCAGAGCTCGGATTTTATTTCGTCGTCGCACTGTTGCCTTGCAACAGAAATGGCGCAACAAGGATTGACTACGACGGATAGCCTCCGGGAAACAATTAATTAATTTCAATTATATCCAGAATGCGAACTGCACGGTGTTCCGTGGCGCTTTGACAGCACGTCTGTAAATTGGCGTTTTCCTATGTTATCCAAGTTGAATCCAGTAATCAATTATAACAACATAGTATACGTGTAATTAGGTGTTTACGCGAAACTATACAGTGGTGAATGTTTGACGAAGGATCAGATTTATATTATATTTATAGAAGCTTACGTTCTGTTTTAAGGCGATCCTACAACTTTCGGCAATTTAATTCCACCAGAGGAAGTGATCGAAGCTGTTCAAAACAGCGTCACTTCGCAATTATACAATGGATACGCACCGAGTATAGGTAATTTTTAATAAGGTCTTTAAATGTATATCGTTTTCTGTGAAGGTCTTTTAAATTCTAAATAATTTTGTTTAGTTCATAGGAAAATTTTTCGAATACGATAGAAATAATAGAAAAATTCAAATTTTGATATTTTTTCATGTACATACATACTATTACATTACCAATTTTCTAAGCAATTATGAATTTAAATAATATTGAAATAATTACCGCATTATTCATTATATAGGTTGACGCAATACGTCTTGTACGATTAATTATTAATAAACTATTAATAAACAAATATTTTCATTGCATAGCTTGCAATAATAATAATTATATTTATTCGGCAACATAAAAAATTAATTATTTATTCTACAGGTCATGAAATGGCACGAGAAGCCGTAGCTGAGTACAGCTCGAACGAATATGTGAAAGTCAATTCCAAGGTAGGATGATCACATACTTATATTATATAAAATGTCGTAGGTCCAACATGTATCGAGAGCAAATTTAAAATCAGTGACACTGAAATTTCTTATCACGTGTTTAAACCATATTTTATTTATTCAACAACAATATTGTTAATTATTTATTCAATAGAAACTGCGAAAAGTCAAATTTTGCCGAAGTTGTGTTTTAATATTAATAACAATCGTAAATTTCTTTTTCCGCCTTCGCGCTATGAGACAGGAAAGCGACATGGGTTTTATAAGGGGACGACATGGTTGATTGCATATTTTGAGTAGTATGAAGATAGTTAATTAACTTGATGTTGCGAATTTTTATGCAGCGAAAATCACAGATAGAAAAAGAAATGTAGCAGTCAAATGCTATTATATAGTATAATAAATAATGCAGTTAACGAATAAACAAGTCTCCAAGTTTTTGCAAATGATTTATTGTATTATTTATAAACAGATATATTAAATTATATAAATATTAAATATTATTATAAAGTCTTCATTGAATAACAATAGCAAAAATTAAAATATTTACTATAGAAAAATATAATTTTATTTTTTTTCCTTAAAACATTTTCAATCATATTCTTCAATATCTCCATATGCAATTACACTCAGCATGTAAATATAAAATTTATATACCTGTAGGTATAAATTCTTGTAACAAATAATTTATCAATTTTTACTTGATTAATCATGTAGATGTATTTTTTATATTTCAATATTAAAATGCTAGAATATTTTTATCATATCCAGTAAATCTATATAAAAATATACTGAAGCCTGTGGAAATATAAAAATATTTTACTTTAAAAATATTACTTTTCGTTTCCATTGTACATTTAATATAACACGAATAAAAGTAAAGCACGCGGAAATAAAATATTTTGTATTTCTATATTTGCAGGACGTAATTCTGTGCAGTGGATGTTCTTGCGCACTCGACTTGTGTATTACGGTTTTAGCTCGAGAAGGTCAAAACATCCTAATTCCACGTCCTGGTTTTCCCCTCTATCGAACGCTGGCGGAGGGCCTCGGTATTACGGTCAAAACGTACAATTTATGTGTGAGTATTCTTATCGAAAAAAGAAATGAGAGAAAGAGAGAGAGATTTAATTTCTGTTAAATGTATACGTAAATTAAATTTTAGCAACTATTCTCGCGATGACTCGAAGATTATACAAATAAAGATCAGAGTTTCGTTTTTCATGAATTTCTTTTTTTAAGCACCTAAAACAACCCATAAAAAGAATGGTTGGAAACAAGTGGTGAGAACATTTTTTTTTACAGAAATATAAAAATTTGATATTTTAAATGTGGGAACTTCTTTTCAAAATATTATATTGATCTACACACGTTCCATCTATAAATATTAATATCTGAAATTATTGATATTTTTTAATTTATTATATATTTACTTAATACCATGTGTTTGACAATGAATAGTGCGACAGATCAGCTTCATATTATCGTAATAACGTAAGCGTAAAATTGATAGGTATTGCAGCGTAGTGGTTATTTTGTAAAAATCGCACTTGTAAAAGAGAGGTAGTACAATACGTGCTACCGTGTTGCATCGTCATTAATAAGAAACGTGCATAACACCGTCTGCTATATTTCTTAAGTTACGCGTTATTACAAAACGCACTTCAAGTAGTACAGTCGGGCTTAATACGCAACTTTATATGCAAAAATATACCATTTCGTTAATATCTTTAAATTTATTAACCACCTAGGGCGTGAATGCATTCATTTATACGGAAAACAATGAAGGTGCATAATATTTCGTTTATTTAGTGTGCATGAGAATGAAATCTTAATACAGCGTCAATTACAGATATTATTTTATATATGCCAGAAAGTATTATTACTTTTCTACTTTTTCAAAATTTACGACTATGCAAGGTTTTACACGACTTTAACGTAAAACAATAATATAACGTCAATTTATAAACATTGCTTGCATTTTTAATTTTTATGCAATAAATTAAAAAAAAAACAATTTTTTAAAGCATTTTATTGATAAATTAATTAAAATAATACTTTGTCGCAAATGTTTACAGTTTTATTAAATTGTGTAATAGCGCAGAAATATTTTTACACCCTTAACATATGTGTGTATAAAAAACAAATTTATATTCATAATTTTAATATTTTTAAAGCATAAAGCTTTTATTTCTATAATTAACAAAATTTTGTTGTACAAGAGACAATTTTTTTTAACTTTTCAGATATGTTTAATTCTCAATTTAACTAATTTTGCAATTTAATTCGTATAATTATATTGATTTTAAATTTTACAAAGAGTTACTTTTTATTTACAAAGCATTTAATTTAAGTCAATTAAAGTCGTCATGTTGCATAATGACTTTATACAGCACGAAATCATATTTAAATCACCCATTGCTATTTACACGATAAATCAGTGCTTTCACTCGAAGATCTTCAAACCGAAGTGCTAATGAGGTAGTTTCCTCTCTTTTCAGCTTTGCTTGGCGAGTTTTAACGTCTCACTCTTCTCTTTGCGCGATGTTATAAACTATTTTATGTTTAAAAAGTAATTATAACCACGTAGCTTTAATTATGCATAAGATGGAATATACAAGAAATTTGTAAATCCTGATACATTGCTTATGTGCTTTTATATTATATACCTACAAACCAATCACGTAAATATGAATTTATTTATAAACAATAAATTTTACAATGGATTTTGTAAAATCCATGTAAATGTCTGCTTTTACTGCTGCATGTTTTATCGTTTTTGATGCAAATATTTTTCTCTGCCTTTCTTTATCTCTCTTTTTATTAAAAATGTTCTTTTAAAATTATTCTATTTAAAAGGTTTAAATGAAAATATATATAAAAATTATTTTGGTATTATATATATATATATATAAATTGTTTTATTTTTGATATATAATTTTACAGAAAAATGCTGACGTATAGATGGAAATTGTTTCAGCACTATGCTTTTAACTGCCAAGTAACATTTTAATTATAAAACAAATAAGTTTTTGTAAATCTGTTTAATAAATTCATATCCAAGTTGAAAAATCATTAAAAAATATACACATTTATAAAAATTATATTATTGAATATTGTGCAATTAAATTTAAAGAGTAAACATAATTATAAAATTTAGTAAAAAATAAATATATAAGGGTATTTATTCACTTGTTAGAACGTAATATACGTATTAAATTGTATTATTTGACTGTTATATATAATGCCCATTATGATTTTTTAATCACAAACGTGAACAGGTTTATTGATCTTTCCACAATGAAATTGTTTTTCATGGCGTTTTAGTATTTAGTTTTAAATATTATTCATATATATAATATATAGTCAATCTCTTAAATAAAAATTCTGTTAAAGAAGAAAAACATTTTTACACAGATTTTATGAGACTTTAAAAAAAAAGAGTAGAAATATATTTGTCATATTAAAATTTTGTCTGTCAAGGGATCAGAGAGAATTATTCAAGAACTCATAATCGAGAGCAAGCGCATGGGTTTTAAGCAGCTTTAAAATACAATATTACGCGATATAGAGGGAAAGGACAAAGAGAAATCAAGATTGAGAGGACTTCTCGTAAATGCATTCTATTAATATTAATCATTTTTAGCCGGAGCATGGTTGGGAAATCGATCTGGACGACCTGAAGGAGCAAATCGACGAGTCGACGGCGGCAATTATTATAAACAATCCTTCGAATCCTTGTGGCTCGGTATTCAGCCGCAACCATATACTTGACATTCTCGACATCGCCGCTCATTACTACGTACCCATTATAGCCGATGAGATTTACGAGCATATGGTACGTGCCCGAGTATTACGCTTACCACCCAAGTATCAAGTGACAAATCGTTTCATTTGCGGAACAAATAAAGCACGTATCGCGCTTGTTCTATTTGAAGGGGGTACGGAATTAGTTCAAAATATGCACGATGCAATCCCGAATTCGCGTAGTGCACTTTATTAACAGATTAAAAAGATTTTTTGTTTTTAGCACGTACGAGATGTTTAGCTAATTTGATAGTGATAAAATATTTTATAGTAAGAAAAAAAGTACAATTATAAAGAAATAAATTATACTAATTATGTATTTTTAACAATGTCTTTCTATTTCAATATTATCAATAAACGAATTTTATTTTTGTATTTAAAAAATTATATTAATAATATGTATAAATACAATTGTTCATAAAAGAGAATTTAACAAATAAATTTTTATAAATCTTTGGGAGTATTAAAATATTATATCCAATTATACGATAAATGCAAAAAATATTTGTACGTACACAGGATATTTTTTTATAAAAAGTTTTTGTAAAAAATACACATTAATTAATAATTCATTAACAATGAATACGTTCTGTTTTAATATAAACAAAAGAGTTGTGCGAAAACAATCATTTGTGATTTCAGAAATTTTTTTCGACTGTATAAATACCTATTGTGTGTTTAAACAAATTTTTATTTCCGCTCATTATTAAGATAATATATTTTAATTATTATTACACATCTTTTTAATTACACATTAATTTAAGTAAAATAATTTTGAAAGAAACAATCCACTTTATTTTTTGTTAATAAATTGCTAATTCATGTTTACTTTAAAAAAACAAGGTTTCTTTAAGAAGTCTTTCCTGTAAATACTTTTTACATTCACTGTATTATGCATAATGACAATAACTACATATTTTGAAAAATTTCATAAGACGAAATAACACGACTGTCACGCTTTTTGCATTATATTGTGTCATATGCCTTTGCATGCAGGCAAAACATATATTATGCGCAAATACATTTTTCGCCTCACCACTGTTTTCAGGTATTTCCAGGACGGACTTTCCACTCGTTAGCGTCTCTATCGACCGAAGTTCCTATTTTGTCGTGCAGCGGGCTGACTAAAAGGTATGTCGGGACGTGTAAAATGATTATAAAACTCCTGATATTTCGATGCTAGAATACAAGCACAAAATTTTCTATAACATTCCACAAATTTTCATTCGCGTAACGTATGTTTCTTGCATATATTAAATAAGACGGTTCGTAACTAATCCATCCTTTAAAACAAAATATCACGTTATATTAAAAGGTTTTTTTTTTCAAGAGCCAAAGAGTGAAAACAGCGTAAAACAAGTTCCTGTGTTTTTAATGTTCTAAAAATGCTTATAAGCATTAAAATAAAAAAATCAGATAATGCTTATACAATAGTAACGATTATGTTCAGGAAAATAATAAGAAAATAGTTTTAATAATTATTTCTTACATTATAAACGCGATGATAATAGTTTCAAAATAATTTGGAAAATGCAGCACCGACAACTTTTCGTACATCGGGTTTTCAGTTATTTTCAGTACGTTACCTTCTATTATCTTTCATCGCGAAAAGTATGGAGCGAAACTAGCGATTCGTGAAGTTGACGGAAGGAATCCTTGGAACGAAAGCGCTCCGCTGTAAAATTTTTCGCTCGATTTTTTCGAAAATAGGACGAGAGGTTGATTGAGCGTGAATAAAACGTCGCGATCAAAGCCGAAGGATCGGATATTCCGAAGTTTCGCGATTATGCCTCCATTATTTTAACGGTATCAGATTTGAAACGCAACCTAATTTACGACCGTTCGTCATACCAGTTGTAAATGAGTTTCTGCAGCTTGTTGGTCTTTCATTGCACAGTGTATTTTACACGCCGCAGATTTCGCAGCGTGGTACTTTTTGGTATCAAGCACTGTGAATCACGTTTCTCATGTAAAATTCAAAGATGTACACGATACACGCAAATATGCGATAAAAAAATATGAAATAAACGATAAAAGTAAATTAATGAATAAATGAATGATACATTACAACATTATTATTTAATAACATAATTATTTAATGATTGTTACATTGTTGTGATATCTTAAAACAAATATTTTTAAACCAATTTTAAAATTAATCTTTTCGGAAGAGAGCTTTTATACATGATATTTATTATAAAATGTCATAATCTGTTTTGGATTTGTTATTTCATCTTATAGAATTTTTTAATAGCTATTGTTATTATGCATATACAGGAAATATAAAAAGTATTCAAATAGGGAGACTTCTTAAAGAAGTAAAAATGCTTAAATTGATTAAAGCGAATTGTGCGACGACATTTAGTGATTTTGTTTATTTAACAGGAATACTCAAATTGAGAAGAGAAATGAAGAAGAAGAAGCAAGTATTAAGTAGGCAAAATAAATATACAAATATTCTCTTAATGTAGTATTATTATTGATACATATATATATATATATATATATATATTTATAACAAGATTAATGCAGATAAGAATAATATATTAACATATTTCTGTTGAGTTTCTTTTTATTATAAAAAATAAAAGAATTATCTTAGAAAGAGAGTAAAGAATGTATTTTTCATTGCTTATTAAACTTGTGATGTATGTACACTAAACTTTTTGTAATCGCACGATATACGCATCGCATGTGACAAACCATGTAAAATTGCATGTCGCAATAAAGATAACTTTTGCTCATAGATTGCTTATTCAAAAAGCCCATTTCGTTCTTTCATCCGCAAACAATTTTTAATCAACAATCAAATTAAAATACTAATAAATAAATAATTAGTTTTTCGTCAATATCAAAAATAAGAATTTATAATTTTTATATTAATTGTTATTATAATAATATAATTTTTGAATTAATTGAGATGTACCATGGCAAAATGTTGCAAGTACTAAAATTATCTCAAAATGCTTTTTATAATATGAATAAGTCGTAACTGCTGTGTGTTTTACACTAATATTTGGTGTAGAAAATACTGCTATAAGTGAAGGAAAATAGTGCAACTAAAACGTTAAAAGTATAATTGGTATTTTTATTTAAACGTACCTATAGAGTATTTTGTCTTGCATTTTTACTTGGACTTATAAAGTTTTAAATTTTTAACTTATAAAATTGATTTTTAAAAATTAGAATTACTAAATTAAAAATTTTTTAAAAGACTGATTATTTATATCTTTGTATACAATAATTTTTTTGTAGAATTTTAGAAGTGATATAATAAAAAAAATTAATTTTTCCTTTTTCCCCTGAAAAATTTAAAAAATAGTACTTATAAGATGTGTGTGCGTATATTTTTTGCCATGGCATGCCTCAATTATTTTTGTATAGAAAGCAATATTACTTTTCTTTAAGAATCTTTTTCTTCAATGTAAAAGTTTCTCTCAAAGTTAAACTCTCTTACACAATGTATAAAATGAAATTCAACAACAGTCCTATTTTGATATCTCTTGTCTTTGCAGATTTTTAGTTCCAGGTTGGCGTATGGGTTGGATAATAATCCATGATCGTCAGAACGTGCTAGAAGCCGAGGTGAGTAAACGATCGTGGTACAATACGTGACAGCCCGAAAATAATTGCTTCCCCGACGGTATTGTTTCCGTAACGAGGCTCGAGCATGTCTCGGCGAGTTCGGTACCGCATACTGCGGATTGGATTAAATTTCGTTGATTAAACTTTATTCCACCATTAAAGTTCGGCTCTTTGGCAATCGACCCTTTGGCCGATCGTGCCCTTAATTCCTCGTCTTGCAGCTGAAGCATCGTCTTGGACTAACTTTAAATCGCCGCGCCGCGCATCTCTATCGGATATATTTCTATGCTCTTTAATAACTTTGCAAGAGTTGCAAAGTTGTGGTCTTAGATAAGTAATCAAGAGAGTTCTGCGATAAGAAAAACTAACCGACAAGCTGTATATACCTATATATATACTATTTAAATATTGTGCAAAAATTTTATCCAATAATACAAAGTCATTTATCTTAAATTTTTCTGTACTACAAATTATTAAAACTATTCTACGCAGTACAGTTGATTGGAGAAAATTTCATTGTTATATGGAAAAAACAATTTTTGCTGAAAATTGTAACTAGATAGATTTGAAAATAATTTTATTGAATTATCAAAATAATTATGTAGAAATATATCTTACGCATGATGAGTAATGTTACAAAAAGTTTTGACATCAGTTCAAACATTTTATATAATTATTTCGATAGTCTAATAAAATTACTTTCAAATCTGTATACCATATAGTTAAATATTTAGATGCTTCAACAAAACCTTCCTTTCCCTACATAATTTTCTAACATAACTTATTGAAAACATGACTAAAATTTAATCAAATGATTCACATCATTTCTTTTTATAGTAAAATATAAAAAAATGTCATTTGTTTCAACATTTGTCCATATATTTCATCGTATATTTTTATCATGTCACACTTTGAAAGAAAAGGTTGATTGTACGATCGTTTGATGATGTTCTTCCACGGGCAGGTATTGGACAAGCTGGCAAATAGTCTGTCAATGTATAGCACATTTCGATATTTCACAGTATTTGAAGTTCACGAGAAATCTAATATCATCACTGAGAAAAATTTCTGGTTAAAAATGAACAAACTAGAAGATTCTGATTGTATCAATCAAAATTCTGATGGTTATTTCAATTAGAATCATAATAGATTTAACCTGAAAGTTATGAATTGAATCCATTTTCAACTAGAATTTCACTTAAAGCAACCAGACTTTTTGCCAGTATATTAACAAATTTTTGAAAATAAATTTACATTGATTTCGATATAATAAACACGGAGTTCGAAATCTTTACATTTATTCGGATCACAAAACGATTTGATATATAATCTTTTAAAAAATTTATTTACACAATTTTTTAATTTTATAGATTTCATTGTTTTTCCAGTAATACATTATTTGTGACACTATTTATCTCCTTTTATCTGTTAAATACGTAAAATTTTATCAAAAATTTTTGTGTCGTTTTATTTTTATTTAGTAGATATACTTTATGGTAACTAATTCTATATAAATATTTTTCATATTATATGACATAAAATAAGAAAAAAATTCTATTGTAAATTTTAACAAACAACACAGATTTAACGTAACTATCTAGTGTAAATTTAAATACGATAGAAGCATAGTATCTTGCATTGCATTCATTAATTGTACACAGAAAATATAGCTCAACAAATCCTAAATTGTTCGTTTTTCAGATTCGCAAAGGTTTACATTGTTTGAGCCAGCGAATAATTGGCAGTAATACTATTATTCAAGGCGCCTTGCCTAAGATACTTCAGAACACGCCACAAAAGTTTTTCGACGATGTTATCAATACCTTATACGTAAGTTAACGTGATTAAAAAAAAAACATTAAAAATATGAATTCACAAAATTTTTTAATTTATGGTGTTACAGTCACATTCTAAATTGGCATACAACTGTATAATAAAAATTCCGGGATTGAAACCGATAATGCCGGATGGAGCGATGTACATGATGGTAATGATTCCTATTGTAATTAGCCCAGCCACACCCTTGCATAATTTCAAGAATCACAGTGCATTGTTTGACAGTCCGTATAGCTCGCGGGTTAAAACCGTAAATGCTAATCGAGCGTCCGATAAATAGGTCGTACAATTAGTTGGTGCACGACCGCTATTTATACGTTAATGCAAATACCATCAGTAAGGTGGGACTAACTGCAATTTATGAGCTATAAATTATTGAATCGATTTCCAGGTCTACATCGATCTACAGTGCTTTTCGGAATTTAATTCCGATGTGGAATTCGTGCAACGGCTGCTAATGGAAGAATCCGTGTTTTGCCTACCCGGCCAGGTTCGCATTTTTGACATTTTAAATTATTAATTCATTGACCATTTAAAATTTTTTAATTATATCACTTAAATCCGTGTAAAAACACGGATTTTTAAATTCAATTTTACGAGTATTCAATGCTAATCTCTTTGATTGAAAATATTGCAAAAAATCAAAGCGACACGTTGCAATAAAATGTGCCGGATAATCCTTTTCATTAATTAATGTAACGGCAAAATTTGACAGATTCTGTAATAATTTATTATTTTATATATATATATATATATATATTTGAAAGTTTTTAAATCGTTTATCACAAACATAAAAGATAATTACTTTAAACAAAATTACTATTTAAAAAAAAGTTAAATAGGAACTTAATCTTATTAATCTTTTGTATTTTGTATCTTGACTCTCCAGTGCTTCGAATATCACTCTTACATGAGACTGATAATAACCGTGCCAAGTGATATGCTCGAGGAAGCTTGTCAGAGGATTCAAGAATTCTGCGAGAGACATCATTGTAAAACAGAGAAGATCTCAAAAAAGAACGATTTCGTCAACGAGATTCCGTATTAAGACACGAGTAAATACACAGAAATTAGAATATTATGTTAACTCGCATCAATCCGCTGATTATTTTCCGCGGATTGGATCTTTATTTTATGTGTTTATATCTTTGCTTGTAAATGTCTTGTGATTATGTAATAAAGATTTTATATCTATATATATATTTTCTCTATAATGTTTTAAATACTTATTTAAGATTTAATATAAAATTTATCTTGCACATATATGACACAATTTTTTTTTACAGATCCGTAACTTTATATTACAATAAATAATGTGAAGATGAGCGATATGAAATGTAGCAATAGAATTGTGATATTAAAATCATAACTTGAAATAATTTATGCGTGCATAAATGACTTATGACATTGTTCGCTATAATTTGATATTTTTCTGAATTTGTTCTTTATTTCTTGTTATTGCTTTTTTATGACACTTATTTGTGAAGACACCTATAACACGTAGTCATAAGTGTATATACAACGAGTGAGTAGTTCAATTTAACGAGAGTAAAGATTAAAAAAAAAACACGTTTGTTTAAAGCTCAATATTTCTAAAATTTCCTAAATTAGCGCGCTGTATAAATCTCAAAAGGAAGTTTAACAAATTAACGGATCTAAGCGCTATGCGATCATAGAAATTGATTAACTCTCTATTAGCCGTGTGAAATTTTACATCTTCCATCAACAACTTGAATCTTTGAGCTTTAGTGGAGATTTTTATATTGTTTTATATTGTATAAAAGAACTATTAGAAAAAATTCTTGCATACTTGTGAAAGCTTTAACAACGAATTTTTACTATCATAAAAGTAATTTATTTATTTTTTACAAATTTAAATTTATCTCATCAGAATGCACAATAAAAATATTGAAATATTGTTTTCAAAATCCAGTTTAGCTGGCAAAAAATTAATTATACGGATTGGTTGCTAATTATAAGAATGATAAAATGCGTTTCAAGGAATAATGAATGGATAAATAAAATAGCTTGCACCGCACGAATAGCTACACGTTAGCCTTGTGTGCGTAACGGCATGCCAGACGCCGCAAAAAAAATAAACGTAAAAGTCGTACACAAGTAAGGTCCCAGTCTCTGTCTTTCTCTCGTCGTGATTTTTTGCACGAGAAATATTTTTATTTTTCAATTACACTAAATATTTTATCTTCTTGCAATATATAAATGACGAATATATTGATATAGCACGCCGTCATTTCACAATTGTTTGATTTAGTAATACAAGTACACTACATATTTTGTGATTTTAATTGGAAAATAAATAAAGAACGTTCCTTACAATTTAAATTCGATAAATTGAGCAATTACCATAAATTATACACTTTGGTTGATGGATTCGTGATTGTAACATTGTAAAGATTAATTATTTATGTAAATTAACACTACCGTTATAATCTGATTACTCGAGGGTGAGTTTTTTGTCAGAGGGACAATTGCTTGTCACATTATTTTATTAATATAACGTTAATTTTGTGTCCTTATTAGTACCACAGGGATACATCACAAACGATCTTCCAATCGCTTGATGAGCTAAATTGTTCTCTCTGTGGAAATACTCAACGTTATATAACAATCCATCATAGTAATTTTCTTGTTTTTTCTGCGTTAACTAAAGATGTTTTACTGCGTTAATTAATATTTATATGTTCATCTGAGGATGGCTCGAATATGCAGCCGAAACGTTATGATTTGACTTATGTTTGCGTGCGCTTTTAAAGTGTGAATTTATTGATATTTTATTTTAATTTAGAATGTATTAAATGTTTTATTAGTTCACACAAATAATATTGACTCTTAATTGCCTTTTTATTTCATTGACAATTATATATTTAATTAATCTAGAAAATGAAATTAAATCAATGCAATGCAGAGAATGTTGTAATTTAATAGTTTCGAATCAATCTTTGCTGATTTCTAATCAGGAATTATCGCACTATTCTCATCAAGAATTGTTTGTGCACTTTATTCATGCAAAAATGGTTGAATTGATTCTGACAAAACTTGTTTCTTACGATCAAACTTAGAATGTTGGCTACATGCCATACTATAGAATTACATTTCAAATAAGAATTATGGATAAAAGTTCAAAAAAGAGTAATACCACGTTTATAATCGATCTTATTATTAGAATTTACATAAAAAGATTATAAGTAATTAAATTTTGAGTTCCGAAAATTAAACTGAGTTTCAAAAAATAGAAAAGAAGATATTATCTTTATAAATATCATGAGTTAGTTTCTAAAAACAAAAAATAAAACATTTTTATAAAACCCATATTTAATAGATAATACAAATCGATAAAAGAAAATTTATTTTTCTCGTGTTAAAATAATCTGATAGGGAGGATGTATCTTATAGTATTTTTTGTGTCGATTTTAAGTCTGTTTACCAAGTTTATAAGGGTAGAATTTTTTTTTATAACATGTATTCAAAAATTTTACTTATCTCCTCAGTTTAGATATAAATAAATGATTCACACACACACACACACAAGAAAGCTATTGAATTAAATATAATTTTCTTTTTATAAAAGACTTTCAAATAAAAATAAATAATTTTAAATCAGGAAAAAAACTTGTACAGTATGCTGTTATTAAAAATATATCAATTTTTAAAAAGAGATATATATATATATTGGTTACAATAAATTAGAGTCATAGATTTTAACTTTATTTTAGAATTAGCGGCAAAAAATACGAAGGAGTCAGCCAAAATTAAATTATCCATTTAATAAAATCATTGTTAAACAGTGTAATTGCTATTACTTCTCAATATTACAATTTATTAACAATTTTATTTTATTATAATCGACTTTAACAAATTCGATAATATAGATAATGCCATTTCGTTGCAAATCAAATTTAAATATACCTACGTCAATATGAGTTACAAATTTATCTGTGCATATTTAGTTTACTGGACCATTACGAAAATCAAAGTAAACGTAGATATCCAACGACCATCATGTTACGCGTGTAATTTTATGCAATCCTGTAACGTGTGCCGGGGTGTAATTTTTATGACCGCGCTTTCCAGGTAGTTCCAGGTGGAGAGCCGTTTCTTTTTTTCGTTACGAAAATCTACGGATGGCGAAAAAATTGCGGCCGCAATAAATTTTACTGCGAAGAGATGCAATGGCACATAGAAATTAGAAAACGCTACAAGCGCGAGACGTGTTGTTTTTCATGACGATAAATTATTTTTATTACTCCACGATTTGTGTACGTTAAAGATGTAAAAATAAACTCGTATAATAGTTTCATTTCGGATAATTACTTCAGAGATATCGATTTATTGAAAATTTTATACTTTATTTTAAAATTTTATACTCTTAACTTACGTCAGCGCTAGCCACAAATATGATTGGTTTAATTTACTACGTTATTATTCCTAAATATAATTTTATTCCCTACGAGTGTATTTCATTTCTCACACATTCCTACTTTTATTATTTTTATATTTTATTACAAACCAGAAATGTCTATCTTGTATATATGCATGATGAACTCTTCCCGCGTAAATCTCGGCCAGTAATTCAATTAGAGATACGATCAAACTATAGCTGAGCTATCGATACGTGGAACGCGCTATCGAGATACTTAATTGGAAGTGAAGTTCGAACGCTATATTCTCCTACAAAAAGATTTATCGAGATACCGAAAATTCGAAACACTCAAAACAGTCGAACATAACAGAATTGGAGCAAATTGAAGAAAAATAAACTAAAGTGACGTGATTTATAAACCCGTAGTTGCTTTTCATTCCGACTAAATGTATAATCCAATATAATATCGAAGCAGTAATATCCAATTTTTATTGGGTTTTATATAAATAAAAATAATTGACATTCTATTAAAATCCTCGGATATTGCATGACTCTTCTTTTACGAGAGCGAGTGAAATCAGCAGCAGGATACAAATGAAAATTTCAAACAAATCTGACCTGACTAGCATATCAGTGAATCCGACGCGAGGTGAATGGTCTAGACATGTTCAGTACGTTTCCTGGAGTTATATCAATAACGTAATGATTTGCGAAGATTTACAGATTAAGGAACTATTACATAATAAAAGCAATTTTGAGATATTTCTCACTCAAGATTTATAGCGAATATGTGATGACAAGGATATAAATTGTACAAACTAAAAGGAAACTACAAATCTAGTTGCTATTTCTCAAATTTATTATTTAAGAAATAGAAATAGTGGATATTCCTTCTATTTTATTATAGATATAATCATACTTAAATAAATTCAAAACTTTCTGCTGTGTTGTCACAACATTTCTACTAAATACTGTAATTTTCTTGCAGCTTCTTTAACGTTTTCCATTATAGAAATCTTTATTTGTTGCAAAACAAATTAACAAAATAAAATAAAAATTATATCATATATGATTTAAAAAAAAGATAGAAAAACAGAAGGAGAGAAGGAAAAAGAAAATAGAAATGTGTGCCGTAATGGTGTTGAAATGAGAAGAAAAATATCGCAGCATTATTTTATTCAGATAATTTGTTCTTATAAATAAAAAAAAGTTTAATTTCAAGTATTTGTTAGTTAACACTCTTTTGCAGTTCTTTAAAAAAATATTCATTTATATCAAAGATTAAAAAAAATAAAACTTTTGTGAAACATCCAAATTTTTAAATAATGTTAGACATTTTTATAAAGAAAAATCCATTTCATACTGTTTTTACGTAAAAGGAAGTATGAGAAATCTCAGATGTTCTGTATTTGAAGCTGCGCCAAAGCTTCTTCACGTATCTTGTGCTGCTTTTTTCCGCGTTTAAAACAAGAGAACAATAATTTTCGCAAAATCCGCTGAATGTGTTTTCTATCTAGACCGTGCCATGGTATCGGAAAACCGGAAGACGTCAATCGATATTGTAATAGATATTTATTTTCATCATAAATCACGTATTGCCATTCTTGTTTCTGTGATAAAAAAGTGTACGCGTGACAAAAATACAAAAGGAAAGAGAAACTTTGCCGCT